GTGGGTCATTTACACACCACTAGATTTCAAACAGAATTTAAAATAATGAATGTTTTCAAACAGGTTTCCTTGACAGATCGGCTTTCACCGTGGACAAAGCGGAGTCCAGCCCGGGGTCACATGTGGTCACTCCTTCGTCGAATCCACCGGCCGCTGCTCACTCTAGCCCGCAGGCCTCCGCTCACTCAAGGCCGTCGTGTGTGACGCTGTGTTTCGTTGTGAAAGCAAAACTACTTTGTTTGGCCTTCCAAAAGAGGACACATGTCCCCACTGGATGCAACAAATGCCTCGTTTATAATGGGTTTTAATGTTTTTTTATCGTCGCTCCGGCCGGACACGGCATCACAGTATGGTAAGGGACGTAACATTTCCGTCACACGCTTGAGGTATTCGGCCAATTACAACGCACTGGATAGCTGGCCAATCAGAGCACACCTTGCTTTTCAGACCGATGAGCTTTGTAAAAATCGATGCGTTTCAGAAAGGCGGGGCATAGAGGAGAAACAATAATGTACAGTATGTGGAAAATAATGTGTTTTTTTAACCTTAAACCGCATAAACACATTTCATTACACCAAATACACAAAATAATGTTCTTTTTAGCAACATCATATGTCCCCTTTAATTTCCTGTTTTTGTTCTGTCCTCCTTTCTGCTTCTTCTGGTTCCTTTTCAGGATGAGCTGAAGAAAAAAGAGGAAGAGGAACAGAAGCGTCAGGAGAATGAGATAGCCTTCCGATCGTGGCTTATGAGGAAGAGAGAGCAGCTGCTGGAGGAGAGGAGAGTTCAGAATGCCCAGGAAATGGAAAGGATTAGCTGCAGGGTATGTCGACCAGGGGGAGCCGTTTAACCAGAAATTGTGATGCCAGGACCCCCTCTGCATAAAACATGCAGGCAATATATATATTATTATTTTTAAAAATCATTATTAAATATATTTCATTATTATAAAGGCATAATTGCCATTGAAATTATTACCTTCTATACTGTAATGTCATTATAAAATCAAATTTTATATTTTTATTATAATATTTTTATATTTTCATTATTTGATTAAAAATAAAGTTAAATACTAATATTGTGAAATATTATTACAGTTTAAAATAACTGTTTTCTGTTTTTATATTTTTAAAATTTAATTTATTCCTGTGATGGCAAAGCTGAATTTTCAGCAACCATTACTCCAGACTTCAATATCACATTTCTTGTTATTATAATAATAATAATATTCCTTATTATTATCAGTGTTGAAAACATTGTGCCCCTAAATAGTTTGTGGAAACACATAGAGTGTAAGTCTGTGGGAAATACTGGAATATATATCCTCCTGACTACCAGGAAAAAACAGTTTTGTGAATTTAGTATTTTGTCATGTCATTACATTGTTTAGAGCATAAGAAACATTTTGAAAAATATGTCCTCAGTAGAGGACATCGGGACTTTACAAAGTCCTGTTTTTAAAAAAATAAAAAGACATGAATATACATGAAAAGGCAAAAACAGTGGGATTTTTGTTTTAATCAGGAATCAATTTTAATTTTTTTTATACCAAACTTTATTGGATTCAGAACGCCGTTGCCGAGCATCCATATGGCGAACCTCCACTCTCTACCCAACAAAACGGACGAACTTCTTCTGCTCTCCCGGACAAATAAGGATTTTTCACACTCTGCTGCTCTGTGTTTCACGGAAACCTGGCTGAATGACGCCATTCCGGACAGCGCGTTGAGTCTCCCGGGCTTTCAGCTGTTTAGAGCGGATCGCGACGCAGAATCAACGGGGAAATCACGCAGCGGCGGGACATGTTTTTACATCAACGAAAGGTGGTGTACAGATGTTACAGCGTTAAAGAAGATGTGCTGTTCCGATCTAGAAGCGCTTTTCATTAACTGTAAGCCGTTCTATTCGCCGCGGGAGTTTCACTCGTTCATTCTCGTGAGTATTTACATTCCTCCGCAAGCACACGTGAGCTCAGCTTTACAGAAACTCGCTGATCTGATCACAGAGACAGAACAACAACACCCGGACTCTGTTTTAACCATTCTCGGGGACTTTAATAAAGCAAATCT